TGGCAACTGTTCCTGTTAGTGGAAAGAGGGCTGCAGCACATCAAATTCTTTTCCTTAGTCAGCCAGCTATATGTTTCAGTTTGGTAGCACTGGCTTTTCTTACTCAGCACCATGAATATCAGCCTGGAGAAAGTTCTTGAATGTGAGAATATACTATCAATCCCCAAAGCGATATATACTCAAAACTGACCGTTCCCCCCGCCTCAAAATCCTACAAGGTCTATCCTAAGGATCAAAGTCATGATAAAAACAGCATTCATTCATCTTGACCAACTTTCTCATTCTTCCCATTCAGCTATCTTCTGCTTCTCTTCCCCCACCCCACTCCTTTGGTGACTGCTGTCTCCTATCACACTATGCACAGTTTCTTATGGCTCACTTCAAGACCTGCTCTACAATCAGGATTCGTGTGAAATTAAGAACAAAGGGTAGAAAGCCCTCCAAGAACCGTCTGATGGTTTCAAACACTGGGGCAGCCTCAAAGACAATAGTGAAAGAGCCACTAATTCTCGGTTATTTAAAAACGTAATTCAGAAAGCATGAATGTATACAAATACAGAAGTGATGCATGTAGTTTCTGAAACTATCTTGCAACAACAGGATGATGGACTACTTACTTCAAATAGCTGTATAGATACACATGGCTCCTTTGAAACATGACAAATCTCCTGTTTTGAGATGCTTGTAAGAGTCAGATAAATAACAGTAAGAAAAGCATAATTAAAAAGGGGAATGAAAGGAAAAGTAATGATATGGGACAAATTGTTTAAAGATATCATTTAAGCTTTATTACAACACGTCTGAGGCACTTATGCTCATGCTGAAGTCACGGTTGATGACTGAATGCAGTTGTGTGGTAAATTAGGACATTTGTATGTGGTGCAATACACTTATTCCCAGCAACCAGGGAGGAAAAAAAAAAAGGTTGCTTGAGGAGCAAGAGAGGAAAGTGCCCAAATGGAAACTTAGATTCCAGAGTGTGCGTGAAATGTTCTGACATTGTCTTACTACATTTGCTGAGGCATGCACCCGCAAAGGCTACAGAGTCTTCATAACAAAATGCCAGTATTAAGATAGCTATCAGTACCTTATCACAGTGACTTTTTGGGGCTCTTCTCACTTCCTTGGAATGAAAAGACACTTCCAACTATTCAAGCTCAGCAATGATGCTCTAGAGCAGGGGTTCTCAACATCCGGTCCATGGGCCAAAATTCAGCTCACAGAGCCATTTTATCTGGCCCACAGGTGTCCCCAAGGGTCAGAAAATTTGGTGGCAGGGAATAGTGGCCATTAATATGGCCACCCTTCCTCACTTCCCAAACCACACGTACAGCTCCTCCTCATACACGGCTAGGCCAACCCCCTCCCCGTGGCAGGACTGGGCCACACTCCCTTCCTTCCTGTCCCCTCCTCTCCCATAAGGCCAGGTCAAGATCCCTTCCCCTGTGGGACTGTGTTGGGGATGGCCCGTTTCAAAGGAGGACACTCCCCTGCTCCCGCACCTTTCTACAGAGCCAGATGGTGCCTAACTGCACCATCCCCAGGTTCCAGATTAGTCCTCAATCTGAGGTGTACCTGGCATCTACGCAAGAAGTGCCAGCTCTTAGTTTTCACTCATTTTTTGAGGACAGAAAAATAACATACCAATTCCCCTGCTGCAAAGTACTTGCAAAGACCACAACAGGTCAGAATGTATGTAACACTACAGATTTATATTTAAATTCTCTGGATTTATACTGTGAATCATGCTTGCATACCTAACAAAGCGCTAAACTAACATTGCCACAGCACCCTGGTTGAGAATCGCTGCCCTAGACAAACTGAATGGGAATAGAGTGCTCCTTTCTGGCCTAATTAACAAAAAATCTTCTTTTCTTTTTTGAAAGACGTAATAGTTTGAAGAAAAATTTGTATTGGAATTCACAGCCAGCATTCTCTTTTCAACCCTTTCCCAACCGTCAGCTGTTCATTTATCTTCAAGAAACTGCTTTCTGAAAAATACCAACCTGCCTGATATTAAAATATGCTGTCTAGCAAACAACAAGACTTCATTATATACAGGCTTTCATGCTTAAACTTCTACTTATCAGGACTTCTTCCTCCTACATTTCAAATTCTGAAATACACAAACTAGATCCTGGGCTAGGTCTAAACACTTAGACCAGTTTAAATGTGGATGAAGTAGTGCTGAAGTGAGGTTAGGCTATATCTGAATCATTCTCTGCTAGTTTACACAATTAAAACATACCAGCCACACACCCTTTTGAAAAGAGTCCAAACGTACTTGTGGCCCTGCTCTGAACTTAATTGAGTTTTGGTTTGGTTCTTAGCAATTGGAGGTAGAGGAGGAAAACTGAAGGGCATAAAGAGGGGCTGTGATATAATAGTAAGGAGTGAGGACACAGCTGTTTTGTTTTGTTTTTTTTTTGAAGAGAGAGATTTTACTGAACAAACGGTACAAGGGAGCTCATTGATAAAAAATGCCAACAAAGTTTTTAAAATGTGCATAGGGAGGAGCAGGTCTGGGCAGGAGTGGCCAGTTGCAGCACTGTGGGGAGGGAAAGGGGGAGGTTAGGAGCAATGCAGTGCAGGATGCCTGAAGGAAAAACCTGCGTGCCTCAGGTTTAAACAGCATTTGAACCATTTTAAGTGCTGTGCGTGTGTGTCCCTGCTCTCATACCTACAAGCTTGTTAAACCAGTTTAAAGCTACCTGCAATGGTTCAAAAGTATATCAGGAAAATCAAGTACTCTTGAACCAGTTTTCATTGAACAAGTTCAGCATTGCATGTGGGAATCAAGTTCTGCAACACTGGTCTGGCAAGTCCTGCAGAACTTCCCATGCTGCATCACTTTCCCCTCCTCTCTCCCCCAAAACACACACTAATGCACAACTAGCTGCTTTGGGAGGCAGACAGAATTCACTGCCCCTTTTCTCCTTTTTTCAGCATTTTATCAACAAACTTGTTTGCACTGCTTGTTCAGTAAAAGCTGTCTAACAGCCAGTCAGTTGCGTCTTCACTCCCTACTCAACTGTGGCTCCTCAAATGGCCCCAGCCCTGGGACCCTAAAAGTATGGACCTCCACACACACCCTCCCTCCTTAGGCCATTACAGTTTACTGAACTCAAGTTCAGGAAAGAAAGCAAAGCAGAAAAGTAAAACACTCCCAGTCACAGGTTACCCACCTGCTAGAACCCCCCAAACATATGGGAGCAAGCACTCTCCCTCTCCCACTGCCTTGCTTGCTCCCATCCCCTGGTCTCAGCTGCAGCACTTTGCACACATTCCAAACCCATTCCCTGAGATAGTTGGAAATGATTCAATACTTAATGCAAGCCCATATGCCTTGATAAATCAAGTTGCCGCCTCAATTACCAGTAATTTAAAAGTGTTCTTCCCCATCAAGTGGGAAAGTAGTAGCCTGATGAGAACTGCAATGTAAAGAAAATACTCCTCTAAGAAGTGCCAGAAGTAATACTTTCTTAATTATAAAGTATATAACAAGCTTTAAACCAGAGCATTACCCACAAGTTAATTTCTAGTTGCTTATGCAATATGAACGTCAGAGAGACGAATGACTGCAAAGATTACCCAAGACAATTTCTAGCTCAAAGAAATTCACATTTTCTGTCATATCTGTAAAGCGTATCCTTTCATGATCTTTCCATGCAGTTATTACATGCTGCTTTGACAAAGTTTCAATGGTTTTTGAAAAGCATGTTTATGAGTAATGATATTTTAATACAGCTCAAGTTTGAGCACAAGCCTGCTCCTGACAAGCTTGTTTTATCCAATAATTTTTAAACAGATTTTAAAATTTGTTTCTGAAGACACCAAGTCCCAACATTTCAAAGTTTTTAGACTGACTGATTTTAAGAGTTTCAGTTTTATAACTTGAGTAACAAGAGTCTTCAATGACAACAGCAACATAAATAACCACCAAAATTAGGTAAAAGTACAGAAAAACTGCATTTTTAAAGACTGGGTTGCTGCATCACTTCCCTGCAGTCAGACTGATTCTTCAGTTTATGGATTCCCTTGTTAACCTCATCCAATTAAGAATCCAAAAGCTCATTTGATACTTGAAATAGATGGCAAACTACAGTTCTTCCCATTACAAGCCTCAACTTAAAAAACAGTCACTCTGCTCTCCTGTTGAAACAAATAAGGCAATTACATTTTGTGGCGGTCTATGCTGTTTGACATTCCAAATCAGGATAGACAAAAATTGTTTTAAAAAAAAGATTACTTTAAAAGATAATCATTTAAGCTTACAGTGAAAGTGATGATAATTTATGTTTAGGCCAAAACCTACTATAAACTATTAAAATAATTTAAATTAAATAGTTTCAAGTAGTACATGTTTGCTGCTGACGTTCTAAAGTCAGTCAATGGCTAAGCACCCAGAACCAGAGTTCGCTGAAATGCTAAACCAGCTTTTGACAACTACTGTCACCTTTGGAAGGTGCACAGAGAATATTGCTCTCATTTCAGTTCATTCGGCTAACTCCATTCAATGACCAATTTGCTTTAAGTTGAGAAACTGACTGGTAAGCTTAGTTCTTTCTTTCACTGTATGTATAAAAGTAGACATGAAAAGGAAAAGACCTACTAATTCTAGAAGTTTGAAAGGCACAGTACCTGGAACAAATCTGTCCAAATCACTCATTTCAGATGCATTCTATATTTAATAAAATCAGTTGAAAAATGAAAAAATATTTTATACCATTATTTTACGTATCCAGCTTGAGTAACATTAAGTAACAAACTAAACAAGCACTTCATACATTTAATTACATTCTCATTTACATCCAAGCTGCATTGACACAAATAATGTGTAAAAATTTAATAAGGCTAGTAAAAAAATATATCATACATCATTTTCTGACAAATAAAGAAGCCCTAAGGAGAACCAGTGGACTGCTGGACTTATCTCCCAAACTGTACAGTAGATGTTGCTGTTAAGTCAAGAAAATAAGGCTGCATAAATGTGAACCAACCTCCAAGAAACAGCCTTGTACATCTCTGAAATTCCTCATACACTGCATTTGACTTGGTGGAATGTGTTTCAGGACCATAAGATTAAGGGAGACAGACAACAAGGTCATTAAATGTTTAAACATTAAGTTTTATCTATTTACACAACATGAACAGGTTTTAGCTGAACTTATTTCCATAAACTAGTCTGAAGCTCACAACAGCTCAAGCTCCTTGTACCAAAACATATAACCACACTTTTCTCAGGGTTGGGAATGAGGTTTAGAGACTGCACACCCAGGAAGTGATATCAAATGCTCCATATTCAAAGTCTTTACTAAAAGTACAAGCTTAAAAAAATAAGTTGGTATCATTTGAGCCCCAAGCAGAACGATGATTGTGATTCTGGCTTTATGAAAACCAAGTTCAAAATGTTATGGTGATGGCAGCTTATGAATAAGTTGGGAAGGCAGGAACTAGTTTTTGACAGTATCCTTTTTAAATAAAAAAGCCGCTTCTGAAAAAAGCCACTATTGAGCACAAAATACAAAACAGTGCTTTGGATAATTAACAATCCAGAACAAGCCAAGATAAATCTACATACCTAGAAAAAAGGTAAGTCATGTATTTGTCCCTTGTTGAACTGACTTTAATATATATTATGCTATGTTTAAATTAATTTTACAGCTGCTCTGAACATAGAAGAATTATGCACACAATTATGCCCTCTATGAAAAATATTTCATATTACCCAAGTTCATTTTTACATTAGCAATGACTTTAAGCTCTGTACATTTGTCTTAAGTTGAAGGGATTTTTCTAAAGAGAATCATGACTATTCTTCTACTCCACAAAAACCCCGTACACAAAAACAGAAAATATTAGTTTTAAGGGATTAGATACAAATGAATCTGTCTTCTCACTATTTGGCAATTACATCAAGGTATATCCAAATTACTTCTCCCTTTCTATCTGTGAAGATTCAAAAATGAATCTACAGTTGTTTCTATGATAAAATTATTCACATCTGTCAGAAGACTGAAGTCTGAAATCATGACTTCATGACATTTTTCCATTCTATAAACTGAAGCTGTAAAAACCATAGGTGCCAACTCTGTAGGTGCTCTGGGGCTCAAGCACCCACCAAAAAAAAAATTAGTGGGTGCTCAGTACCCACAGAGCTGCTTGCAGATGTTAACAACCCCCCTCCCCCACAAATAAAAATAAAATGCTTTACCAGACGCAGCAGTGCATTACTTCAACCTGGCTCTGCAGCATCTGTAAAAATTGGGCGCTTCAGCAGGGCTTTTCGGCACTTTTAGCTAAAGCTGATTCAATCAGCTATTAGATAAAAGCCCCCAAAAAGCCCCACTAAAGCATCCAATCTTTACAGATGCTGCAGAGCTGGGTAGAAATAATGTGCTGCCTCTTCTGGGCATGCACAGGGCCCAGCAATGGAACAAGCCAAGTTGAAACTAAAGTGCTGGTTTTTGGGGAGTTGGTTTGTTTTTCTTCCTTTAGGCCTGCAAGCACCCACTGGCAAAAAATGAAGTCAGCACCTATGCTAAAAACTACATACTTTGAACTATAATCTTAAGTAATCCGATTCAAAACCTCCCTTCCAGCCTCAAATTAAACATATTTTATAATTCCTGCAAACAAATTCTTGTGGTGCTACTTCACCATGACCACTGTGGAGCATATGGAAGTAGTTCACATTGTTGGTAACAACTGCAAACATTTCAATGGCTTGAGACTTCCAAAAGCAACATAAATATTCTTGATTATCTGTGTATTAATGTTATGGTCATACACTTAAACTATTTCATGCAGAACACTAAAAACACGCATCTCTTTTCCCTTTTGTTTGCATGTTAGATACCACTGATATTTTTTTCCTCAAACATTATTTTCAAACTTTAACTCTTATGAACAGCTCAGCACCTTCAGTCTCCAAATAAAAGGCGTCTTAGTTCCAATATGTGTTCTTCTCCTGTACTGCTACAAATAGTGTCTCACTTTGCAGTGTGAAACAGCAACTTACCAAACAGTGAGATAAGGACAAGCCACATGCCCTGCTCCATGTCCCAACCAATGATAACCCCCCCTTGATGATGGCATGCTAAGAGTCACTCCAGGCACTTCCAATCATCAGGACTGGCTAGTACAGAAGAGTGCCACCCACAGAAAAACACCATCAGGCAGAGAAGCAAATATGTTTTGTTTCACGTGGCATCACAGTAGTTATACTTTTTGGAAAGCGTCTTTGTCCTTCAAACCATGCAGATGTCAAGCTAACAGTAACATCTTCTTTTATAAACAAGAAGCTAAGTTTGTAAGAACACCTGAGTTTTAAATAAGGAAGCTCAGTAGTTTTCTCATTCAGTAGCCTGCTTGAGTCTACATGCCTTCCTTTGCATTAGGAGACCATTCAGTATGTATACTGAAGACCTCTAAAGCGCTGAAGTATTAAGTACAATTCCTTCTACAAACTTTCTTACTCATAAAAAGAGCATCTAGAAATCCTTACTAGGAGACCAAAATATTATTATGAAAAGCCATTTTAAACTGTGCACACAAGGTTTGATATTCAATGTCTTATTATTCACCAAATGAATAAAAAGGACACCAAAAAGGTTGTTCTGAAAAGAGAAACTGTTAAATAACATAATTGCTCTGTTTTGAGACGTGTAGCATCTAAAGTTATGAAAGCCTGATTTTACTAATGTTCTGAAGTTAAGTTTTAAACTTGAATTAATCCACAGGAATAGGGCTCAATGTTATTTCCAAGCCAGATGATTCGAGTGTCCTTTCAGAAGGTAGCAAACACTAATCCTTTCCCA